AATCAATTTACTTAGTTCCTCTATCTATCTATATCTATCTTTCTCTACATACTTATCTATCTATCTATCTTAATATATATATATATATATATATATATATATATATATATATATATATATATATATATATATGCAGACACATACACAAAATTTCATATAGGAGTGAGGATGTGTGTGCGTGCGTGTGTGTGTGTGTGTGTGTGTGTGTGTGTGCGTGTGCGTGCGTGCGTGCGTGCGTGCGTGTGTGTGTGTGTGTGTGTGTGTGTGCGCGCGTGCATGCGCGTGTGTGTGTTTGTGCAGACAAACATATAGACAGACAAACAGATATTATGTTTATACATGTTCAAGGGCTTTTAGTAAAACTCGTTTTATGGCAAATGTTTTAATACTGTCAAATATTATACAATGCATAGAGATACATATCAACAATACAAAGATAATGTTAATACATAACGTTTAAATCATGTTATCTTATAGCACTTCACTTGCTCCCTGTGTAAAACGATGGCCATGACAAGCGAATGATATAAACATTCAATTCTTAAAACCTATTAAATGCAAGATATAAGATATATGGCAAAGGAATATCATTGTAATTAGAACCTAATTTCTCGATCTAGAAAACGAAGATCTAGACCTCGATCGAAATGTACTTCTAGAATTACTTCTGGTGATTTCGTCATTCGACCCAATTCCTGTGTTTACTTGAGCCAGGGCTGAGAGAGCCTCCAGTTCCAGATCAGTTAAAGGTTCACTGGAGTCCTTCGTCGAACTTCTGGATACATTCGAGGTAGAGAAAAATCTCGAGGATCCACTACTTTGAGAAAACGAAGAGGAACTTTCAACTTTTCCACCGTCTGTATTTGTTGAAACGCTCGACTTGATGCTCGTCCCAACAACCCGGAGTTTCAAGCCTGAGGGAATATCTGTGATCTGTGACGGTTCTGCATTTCCTGTAGAAGATTCTGTTTTAGATGAGCTTGCTGACTGGGTGTTGAATGAAGAGGAGGATGAAGAGAATGAATTAGATGTTCTTTCCTGAGAGCTGGCGTTTTCATCTTCAGCCTGCAGGCCACTATCAGAAACGGGAGTAATTCTTGTGATAACTCGTCTGCGGGAATTGCCTGAATTCCTGAATCTTGTACTACCTCTTCTTCCGTTGTTGAAAGAGGTGGAAATGGTTGTTGAATCTTCAGAGTCAGAACTGTCTCTTTCCTGATTTTCGATCCTCTTACGGACAACAACTCTTCTGTTGTTTGTTCTGAGTCTTCGAAGGGGAGCAGCAGTCGTTGTGGTGGGCTGAGGAGGCACTGTGGTTGTAATGCTGTTGGATACCCTGGAGTTACCTCGGCTGCGGCTTTCAAAAGATCTGGAGGAGCTACGAACACTTGACTGTTGGTTAGTGGATACTTGGCTATTTCTATTGTTATTGGGAGTGAACTTTACAGAGAGTAACCTAGCATTGCCGGCACCTGGATTAAAATTCTGTAATGCTGCCAGTGCCCTTTGAGCTTTTGCATCACTTTCTGAATCCTGAGTAGCCTCTTGTGAGTTTGGTGCTACTGTTGTTGTGGCAGATTCCTGACTCGCAGTTGGTGCTGAGGGTCCACGACGGCGTGAGGTAAATTTTGTCGAACCACGTGATCCAATGTCATTGCTGGTTGTTTTGGTTGTTTCGGCTTTCTTATTTGGGATGAACCTTACCGACAATAACTGTGAATTCCCAAGCCCAGGGTTAAATCTTGCTAGAGCATCTAATGCCCGAGTGCGTTTCTTTTCTTCCTCTGTTTGGCTGTCAGAAGTTAATGTTGATCCTTGATTGGTAACAGAGCTTGCGCGGGATGATCCCCGTGATCTTGAAGTTGACCTTGATCCTTGCCTTCCTGATAGCCTACTAGCTCCGGAAGACACTCTTGCATTCTGACTCCTTGTTTGGGCACTGGAGACAGATGATGCTCTAAGTGTTTCCCTGTTGTTAGAAGACTGATTACTATCCAAAGCAGTGTCTGTTGTTTCCTCTTGAGCACTCTCACTTGCCTGGTTATTTGTTCTTCGTGATCCTGGTCTGCCATTAATGATAATCTTCTTCTTAATCACAGTTCTTCCATTTCCTTGTGAATTTTGGCTTCCTCCAGAAACTTCAAACACACGAAGGCCATCAAAAGATTCTTCACTATTTTCTTGAACACTGGCCTCTGATTCTGCAGTAGTTTGAGAATTAGTAACTACATTATTCCTGCTGGTTAAACGTTGACGGCTTGAGGTCCTTCTGAATGAGTTATTTATTAGAGGTGCTGTTGTTGTTATTCTTGGGCCATTCAAAGGAGAAGTTCTGGTATTAAAGGATGGTGTTGTTGGTTTTGATACCTGAGAATTGGTTAAGGAAGCATCAGTAGAAGTAGCCTGCTTCACAATAGGTGCTGGCGTGACTTGGTTCCTTATTGTAGTCTTAGTGTTGCGGGCAGAGTTTAAAGAATTACTTGCAAAGAAGTTACCGCGGGAGCCAAAGGCTCTTGCCTGGTTCCTACGAGAATTTGTGGACACGATCTGTACAGGAGCCTCTGTAGTCTCAGTTTCATAATCCTCAAAAGTTGAGTCAGTTGTCAGTTCATATTCTGTGTTCACTTCATAATCATAATTCTCTGTAGTTGTTACCAAATCAATTTCCCCAATTTCATCACCTTGAGAAGAGGCTTGGTTTTTCTGTATATCAAGAGAAACGGTTTTTGAAATTTGGTTGTTTTGTACCTGAGATGATCCACGTACTGTAAATGAGTTTGAAGATAACTGATTCCTTGATGATCCGGAATTCTGGGTGTTTGTTACGGAACTTGATGTACCTTGAGATAGTGATGATCCATGAAATCTTTGGCCAGTTGCTAATGAATCTACAACAGTGCGAGGGGTTGTGGATCTCTGAAAGTTAGTTGAACCACTTGTTGAACCACTTGTTGAACCACTAGACCTGAAGGAGCCATTTGAAATCTGGATATTTGAACGTGAACCTGTGTTACTTGCAAGGTTTGAAGATGTGCTAGAACTCTGAGCATTTGTTCTAACAGCTCCTTGTGCACCAGACACAGATGCACCACTGGATCCTACTGTTCCCCTAGAAGTCTGAGTGCCAAAGGATGAGAAACTAGCAGACGAATCCTTTACAGATTCTGTCTTGCTTACTTCATTGTTTGCAGAATTCCTGTTGATTGAGGAAGAACTGTGGCGTCCACTTGATGTACGAAACCTGCGATTTCCCCTTGGAATAGAAGCAGCAGCTGAGCTTTGCCTGACAGAGGTTTGAGTATTTCCAGAATTCCATAATGATCCCTGCAAGAGGTAGGTGCTAGGCTGGAACTTCTTCTTTCCTCTGTTTCTAGTAACAGGTGATCTGGATCCTTGACTGCTTGAAATAGTGGAGGAGGACTGAGTACTAGACAGCTCAGATCCTCTTGTTCTTGATACTGAGGATGCTGTTCCACTTGAAGATGCTGTCCCACGAACACCTGACGAAGCTGAGCCATGAACACCTGAAGAAGCTGACCCACGAACACCTGATGAAGCTGACCCACGAACACCTGAAGAAGCTGACCCACGAACACCAATAGAAGCTGACCCACGAACACCAGAAGAAGCTGACCCACGAACACCAGAAGAAGCTGACCCACGAATTCCTGAAGAAGTGGACCCGCGAACACCCGAAGAAGCTGACCCACGAACACTTGATGATGCTGATCCATGACTTGAAGAAGATCCATGAACTGCTGAGGAACCTGATTCATGGCCTCTTACCAATACTGATCCCTGTGATCCTGCAAGGGACCCTTGATTGCCTATAGATATTGATCCTTGAACTGTATTAAGTGACCCTTGTACTTCAGAAGCTGTAGACCCCCTGATTCCGGAAGATACTGACCCATGCACTCCTGACCCATGAAGTCCAGATGCTTCAGACCCTTGTGATTCAGATTGGTGTTGAGCAGTTGAGCTTGTTAGTCCTTGACTTTCTGTAGAACTTCTGAGTTTTGAAGAAGACTTTTCCCCTTCATTGCTTACTAAGAGAGTTGTTACCCGTGATCCTGGGTTCTTGGTTACTGATTGAGTAGCAACACCAATGTTAGATGAGCCTCTTGATCCAAAACTTGTAGTGGATACAGCTGCATTAGTAGAACCCTGCACTCCTTGATTAATTTGAGAATTTGCCTCTGATCCTCGTGTATTAGACACAAGTACACCATTAACATGTGAGGTTCCTTGGGTATTGGTTACAGATGTTCTGCTGTTGGCGTTCAAAACAGATGTTCCCCGTAAACCTGATGTTCCTGTAGACCCTTGTGTGTTAGAAGTAGATCCAGCTGTTCCTTGGAAGTTGACTGTTGATGTACCAGTGGATTCTCTACTAGCTCCTGCTGTTCCCCTAGATATTTGGGCATTCGAAGCAGATACTCCATTTAATCCCAGTGTACCAGATGCAGATGCAGTTCCTCTGGATCCTTGGCTGTTCAATATGGAAGCTCCACTGAATCCAGAGGTTCCTCTAGATCCTTGTGTATTAAATGTAGCTCCAGTTGTTCCTGTAGCTCCTGCTGTACCCCTAGATCCCTGTGTGCTAGAAAGAGATGCTCCACTTATTCCTGAGATACTAGTAGATCCTAGTGTGCCAGATGTAGATGCTCCACTAAACCCTGCAGTTCCCCTGGATCCCTGTACATTAGATGCTGTAGTTTGGATAGCTCCCTGTGCACTAGAGACAGAGGCTCCTCTGAATCCCACAGTTCCCCTAGATGCCTGGCTGCCAGATACTGAACCTCCACTGAGGTTTGATGAACTGGTGGAACCTACAGTGCCAGAGACAGATGCTCCCCTAGCTCCTTGGGTATTAGATACAGATGCTCCATTGAAGTTTACAGTTCCTCTAGACCCTTGGAAGCTGGTGGATGTCCCTGTAGATCCTTGTGCAGAGCTGCTAGATGTAGATGCTCCAGTAAATCCTGCAGTTCCTCTAGAACCTTGGGTGTTAGATATAGATACTCTGTTAAAGCCTCCTGTTTCTTGGGACTCTTGGAGGCTGTTTGCAGGTGTTCCAGAAGATGTTCCCCTGGATGTTTGTACATTTGAGGCAGTTATTCTAATGGCCCCCTGTGTGCCAGAGACTGATGCTCCACCGGATCCTACTGTTCCCCTAGAGGCCTGAGTGCTAGATAATGAACTGGTAGATCCCAGTGTGCCAGATGTTGATGACCCACTAAATCCTGCAGTTCCTCTAGATCCTTGAGTGTTAAATCCAGATACTCCGTTGAATCCTACTGTTCCTCGAGATCCTTGGAAGTTAGCTGTGGATGTTCCTGATGATCCTTGGGCATTAGCAGCTGAAGTTCTGCTAGATCCATGTGTAGTTGATACGAATGCTCCACTGGCCCCTGCTGTTCCCCTAGATGCTTGTGTGCCAGAGACAGATACTCCACCCAATTGTGATCCTTGGGTGTTAGATGTAGATGCCCCATTGAATCCTGCTGTTCCTTGAGACCCTGTGTTAGATGCAGATACTCCACCAAATCCTGATGAGCTGGTAGATCCCAGTGTGCCAGATGTTGATGCCCCACTAAATCCTACAGTTCCTCTAGATCCTTGGGTATTAGATCCAGATACTCCATTGAATCCTACTGTTCCTCGAGATCCTTGGAAATTGGATCCCTGTGTAGTTGATACGAATGCTCCACTGGCCCCTGTTGTTCCCCTAGATACTTGTGTGCCAGAAACAGATACTCCACCCAATTGTGATCCTTGGGTGTTAGATGTAGATGCCCCATTGAATCCTGCTGTTCCTTGAGACCCTGTGTTAGATGCAGATACTCCACCAAACCCTGATGAGCTGGTAGATCCCAGTGTGCCAGATGTTGATGCCCCACTAAATCCTGCAGTTCCTCTAGATCCTTGGATATTAGATCCAGATACTCCACTGAATCCTACTGTTCCTTGGGATCCTTGGAGGTTAGCTGTGGATGTTCCCAATGATCCTTGGGCGTTGGCTACGGAAGTTCTGCTAGATCCTTGTGTAGTTGATACAGATGCTCCACTGGCTCCTGCTGTTCCCCTAGATACTCCACCCACTTGTAATCCTTGGGTGTTAGATATAGATGCACCACTGAGTCCTGCTGTTCCTTGAGACCCCTGGGTATTGGTTGTGGTTGTTCCAGTAGATACTCCCTGAGATCCTTGTATATTTGATACAGTAGTTCTAATAGCTCCCTGTGCACTCAGCACAGATGCTCCACTGACTCCTGCTGTGCCCCTTGCTGCCTGGGTGTTAGATGCAGATACTCCACCAAATCCTGATGAGCTGGTAGATCCCAGTGTGCCAGATGTTGATGTCCCACTAAATCCTGCAGTTCCTCTAGATCCTTGGGTATTAGATCCAGATACTCCATTGAATCCTACTGTTCCTCGAGATCCTTGGAAATTGGATCCCTGTGTACTTGATACGAATGCTCCACTGGCCCCTGCTGTTCCCCTAGATGCTTGTGTGCCAGAGACAGATACTCCACCCAATTGTGATCCTTGGGTGTTAGATGTAGATGCTCCATTGAATCCTGCTGTTCCTCGAGATCCTTGGAAGTTAGATCCCTGTGTAGTTGATACAAATGCTCCACTGGCCCCTGCTGTTCCCCTAGATGCTTGTGTGCCAGAAACAGATACTCCACCCAATTGTGATCCTTGGGTGTTAGATGTAGATGCTCCATTGAATCCTGCTGTTCCTTGAGACCTTGTGTTAGATGCAGATACTCCACCAAATCCTGATGAGCTGGTAGATCCCAGAGTGCCAGCAGATGCTCCACTAAATGTTGAAGTCCCCCTAGATCCTTGGGCATTTGTTGCTGATTGGCCACTGAATCTCACTGTTCCCCTTTGTCCTTGGGAGTTAGTTGTAGAAGTTCCAATGGATGCTACTCTAGATCCTTGTGTGTTAGACACAGAAGTTCTAATAGATCCCTGTGTGACAGACACAGGAGTACCACTGAATCCTGTATTTACCCTAGACCCCTGGTTACCAGATACGCTTGAAGATGTGAATCCTGCACTAGTTCCTTGCCCATTAGAAGACCCATGGAAGCTGGAGGATGAGCTAAAACCAGCTGCATTATTTCTCTGACTGTTTACAGACAAGGATGATCCACGTAATCCTGAACCTGTAGATCCCTTGGTGAAAGCTAATCCAAATGGAGAATTTCCAAAGTT